AGGGAGACACAGAATCGGAAACAGGCTCCAGGCTCTGAGCCATCAGCCCAGAGCCTGACGCGGGGCTCGAACTCACGGACCGCAAGATCGTGACCTGGCTGAAGTCGGACGCTTAACCGACTGCGCCACCCAGGCGCCCCTTAAATTGATTTTTTAATTCTCAATTCTATTTCATTGGTCTATATGTCTATCCTTATGCGAGTACCGCACTCTTTTAGCTTTGTGGTAAGTTTTGAAATTGAAAAGTCTGAATCCTACAACTTTGTTTTTCTTTTTCAGTATTGTTTTAGCTATTCTGGGCTACTTGCAATTCCATATAAATTTGAGGATTGGCTTTTCCATTTCAGGGGGGAAAAAACCCACCATTGGAATCTTGGTAGGGATTGCACTGAATCTATGGATTATTTGGAGGAGTACTGTCATCTTAACAATAATATGTCTTCCAATCCATGAGCATGGGATGTCTTACAATTTAATTAGGTCTTTTTTAATTTCTTTCATCCGATGTATTATAGTTCTCATTGTGCAAATTTTATACTTCCTTGTTTAAAGTTATTCCTACGTATTTTATTATTTTGGATGCTATTGTAAATTGAATTATTTTCTTAATTTCCTTTTTGAATTGCTCATTGCTGGGGTATAGAAACACAACTGATTTTTGTCTGTTGACTTTCTACCCTACGACTTTGCTAAATGTATTTATTAGTTCTAGTAGTGTGTGTGTGTGTGTGTGTGTGTGTGTGTGTGTGTGTGTGTGTGTATTCTTTGGAATTTTCATATACAGAATCACGTCATCTGAAAATAGTTGTACTTCCTCCTTCCAATTTGAATTTCTTTTGTTTCATCTCTTGTTTCTTTTTCCTGCCTAATTACTCTTGCTAGAACTTTCAGTGCCATGTTGAATAAGTGGTGAAAATGGTCATACTTTTCTTGTTCCTGATCTTAAGGGAAAAGCTTTCAGTCTTTCACTATTTTATATGACATCAACTATGGGTTTTCATAAATGCCCTTTATCATGTTAAAGAAATTACCTTTTATTTTTAGTTTGGTAAGTGTTTTTATCATGAAAACGTGTTGAGTTTTTTTTCAAATGTTTTCTCCATGTTTATTAAGATGATCACATGTGGTTTTTTTTTCCTTTTACAGTTTATTACATTGCTTGATTTTCTTATGGTGCACCACACTTGCATTCTTGGAATAAATCCTACTTAATAATGGTGTATAATATCCTTTTTAAAAAAAATGTTTATTCATTTTGAGATAGAGAAGGGGGGAAGGGCAGAGAGAGAGGGAGGGAGAGAAAAACCTAAGCAGCTTCTGCACTGTCAGCATACCCTGACATGGAACTAGATCCCGTGAACCATAAGATCATGACCTGAGTTCAAATCAAGAGTTGGACGCTTAATCAGTTGAGGCACCCAGGCACCCTTATATAATATCCTTTTAATTTGTTGCTGGATTTCATTTCCTAGTTTTTTTGTTGGGGATTTTTGTATCTGTATTCATAGGATATTTGTCTGTAGTTTTCTTTTCTTGTAGAATCTTTGTCTGGCTTTGGTATTTGTTCTATACTGTATTTGGTGAGTTGCTTTGCTCTGAAAATGTTACTAAGGGTCCTTTCAGTTGTCTTTGCAAGTTTTGCAACTCTTACCTTATTCTGGACTTTAGCTTCTTTGACTATTTCCTTTATGCATCTGCCTTTATTATGTGTACTCCTCTCCCTCTATACATGCATCTTTATATATCTTAAAACATATGAAGTCATCAGAGAGCTCCCTATATGGTAATACAAATACTTCCCACTTCTTCCTCTTCAGAATCAATCATCATTCCTCTCAAACTTCTATGAGGGAAATAAATGTGCTTTGTTTAGCACTGTGCATAGGCTCTTCTTGTACAGTGCATAGTACATGGTAAACACTAAATAAGTATTCCTCTCACAAGTAGTGACTAATTGAGCACTTACTATATGCAGGGGAATGTTCTAAGCACATTGCATAAATTAGCTCATTTTTTTTCTCCCAGTAATTTAGAAAACAGTTACTATACTTTTCCCATTTGAAAGATATGAAAATTGAGGTAAAGAAACTGTAAGTAGTTTATACAGTGTCACAAAGCTAGGAAGTGGCAGAGATAGTACTTAAACCCAAGCAGTCTGACTCTGGAATTATTCTTTTAGCCACTGTGTTTTGCTGAATAGACAATAAATAAAGGGGTCTCAGTCATGTGCTTATTCATAGCTTTACTCTGAGCATGAGTATCCCCATTCCTAAATATCACTCAACCAGGCATAGCTGGTTATGCCTACTGTTCTATACTTTCATTGTTACAAAACCCTGTTCTTGTTGCATTTTCCATTTCTATTAATTACATCTTATGCATCTAGGTGCTCAGATTTGCATCAACTCCTTTCTTCTGCCCATACTTTTTTCCCAAACCCCACTCAGGGTTAGTTACAAGTTCTGGAATTCAGTGGTGCCAATTGAATTAACATGTTAAACTGTCCTGTCAATCAGCTGCAAAATAATTCACTATTGATAATGATACAATGCCAAAGTTTATAAGTAATTTACTTCTTAACTAGTATATACAATAGAGGGGGTACACATCAACTCTATAGAAGTCATCACTCTCACTCATATGAATTTTGATTTTTTTTCCCTTTAATGATAGAGAAATAGATGAAAGTGAAGTTAACACACTTGGAATTGTATATATCACTAAATATGCCCACAGGATTAAGTAGTACAGTTGAACTTTATTTATAATGTATGAGAGCTGGACAGAAAGGGTAGAGAGAACCGTGGCTATAGAATGAATCTCCATGAAGTCTCTCATAATTATATCTTTTCCTTTCCATTCTCTTCATCACTATGCCTGGTTTGGATTTAGACAATTTTGCTTCCTAGTTGATCTCTCTGCCTCTTTTCTCTATTCTCTGTCCCATCTGCAACCCACTGTTGACCTGGCTGTAGATTAATCTTCCTAGAGCATAATTCTGATGATCCATCACTTCCTTGTTCATTTTATAATGTCCTTCCAGGGTATTTGCAGCACCTGTGAGGTGTTCCCACTAGCTTTATCTAAAATAACTTTCCTTCACCTACTCTGTATGACCACTAAACAGGATGACATTGCTTTCTCCCAACCTCCAAGGCTCCAAGCCATTCCTCTGAAATGACTTTCCCCTGCTTTTTTTTTTTAAATTATTTTTTAACGTTTATTTATTTTTGAGACAGAGAGAGACAGAGCATGAACAGGGGAGGGTCAGAGAGAGGGAGACACAGAATCTGAAACAGGCTCCAGGCTCTGAGCTGTCAGCACAGAGCCCGACGCGGGACTCGAACTCACATACCACAAGATCGTGACCTGAGCCAAAGTCGAACGCTTAACCGACTGAGCCACCCAGGCGCCCCATTCCCCTGCTTTTTAGAAGACTCCTTATTTTACAAGAGTCAGCTTGAAAGCAAACTCTAAAGTTCTATGTGTACTGAAATGCAAAGATTTCTAAGATACACTGTTCCTTGCAAACAGCACTATGAAGAAAATTATATATAATATGCCACTTTTGAGCAAGAAAGGGGAAAAATAAGAATACATGTATTTGCATTTTTTTCTTGGATTTGCAGAAAGAAACTCTAGAAGTACATGAGACTACCTTGTTTAGTTTTGGGGGGTGGTAAGGAAAAGAGGGAAGAGTGAGACTTTTTGTTGCACACCGTATATCAGCCTGATCCATGACAAGATAGTACATCATCAGAATAAGGATTAATAAACAATCATCAAAACTAAAGCAACCTCAGGAAAGTATTTCTCAACGCCTTATTCTATGTTTCATATTATGCCTTGGGTTTAAGCTATTTTCAGTTTCTTTCTTGACTCTTGAAATACATTTAAAAAAATCTGAGCAAATATCCTGACTTATTGATTGTTTTATTCCCCACCTTCAGGCCTGGGAACAATGCCTTACAAATGCCTGGTGTTTATGATATTTCTGAACTTGTAGAAAGTTGCTCCCCAGCCTCGAGGGTTTGAAGAATGAAGGATTCAAAGGGAACATCTCCTCACTAGCTTTAGAGCAGTGATTGACTGCTTCTCAGTATGTTCAGAAGTGAGAGGGATCTTGACAAAAGATAAATGAGTCTTCTAATTCATTAACCCTTCAAGCTCACTGGTTTCATTCATTAATGTACTCATTTATTCATTCAATAAATATATATTTAGCTACTAATTTGTGTCCAGGCACTGTGTAAGGCATTGAGCATCCACTGGTGAGGGAGATGAGGAATAAGTAAATGTAAAATAAACTTGCATGATATTTACAAAGTGTGAAAAGTCCCATGAAGCAAATAATGAGTAAAAGTAGAGACTAAAGTTTTATTTACAGGCCTCCTAATCCCACCAAAGGGCCCAGTATTCCCAGATTACTATTTTTTTTCTGCTTAAACAATGGAAATTTATTTCTCATAGTTCTGGAGACTGGGAAGTCCAAGATCAAAGCACCAGCAGATCCAGTGTCTGATTAGGGCACTCTTTCTGGTTTGCAGACAGTTGCCTTCTCATTTCCTCACAGGGCAAAGAGAGAGACAGACTTGTAAGGGCACCAACTCCCTTCATGAGGGCCTTACCCACATGGCCTAATTACCTCCCAAAGGGAGAGTATTGGGGATTAGGATTTCAACATATGAATTTTGGAGAGACACATTTGGTCTTTCTTCCCCTTCCTTTTCAAATGCAAACTACATTAATTCCAACCCAACAGTTCTCAAATTCTTAACTTGTTCCAGTATCAACTATAAAGTCTAAAGCCCAAAGTATCATCCAAAATATCCTCTAAATGAGATATAGGTGAGAGTGAGGTAGACTCATCCTGAGGCAAACTGCTCAGCTGTGAACCTGTGGAACCAGACAATTTATGTGCTTCCACAAAAATACAGTGCTGAGACAAGCACAGGACATTCCCATTCCAAAAGAGAGAAGTAGAATAGAAGGAAGGGGTAATGGATCCCAAGTAAGTCTAAAACCCCCAAGGCCAATTACCTGAACTCTTAAGAATAATCCTGTTTGGCTCAATGCTCTGCTTTCCAGACCCACTGGGGTGGCAGGCCAGTCTCCACCTCAGAAAGGTGTGGTGGAGGAAGGGGTATCCAGCATGCCTGAGGCTCCAGGCAGCCCTACCCCATGTAAGATCACTCTCTGTCCCTTTCATAAGCCCATCTTAAATCATTCATATTTTTTTTTTAGGGTATAGATTTTTGTTGTTGTTGTTAATTTAAAAACACCTCTTAATGGTAGAATCTTATTTACTGGAAAAGCATTGCAAATAAGGAAATCTTGAGATCTAGAGGAATCTATGTGGCAAAGATTCAGCTTAAACAAGTCCTCAGGATGGCTTCCATTCCTTCTGGTTCTTGAGCTAATCCCGGGAGTGTTTAGTATTTTTTTTTTAATCTTTGACAGGAGTTATACTTAGTGTATATGTCTTAATTTATGCATTTATTTATCTTTTAATAGGTCCAGAACTGCTGAAGACTCACATCTTGGATAATGAGAGAGCTATGGCTTTACAAGTAGGTGGTAGGAATGACAGGCATGTCTATAAAGCAGAGATTTTTCAACCTGGCTTGCACAGTAGAGTCATCTGGGGAGATTTAAAAAAGTATGATGCTTGAGACCCACACCTTATTTATTTTTCTTTAATAGCTCTGGAGTGAAAGAAAAGAGTGGATAATTTCAGAAGGCTGCCCAGCTGACTCTAAGGTTCAGTTAAGGTTGAGAACCACTCTTTAAAGCAATTTATAAGGGGAAGCCTGTGTCCTCGAGGGGGTTATCATCAACAACAATACAGAGTAAAATGAGAAAATTGGATAAATTATGTTGATTAGAAATAGCTGAATGAAGAGTGGGAAGATTCTTAATGGCAACAATTACCATTTGTTACATTTGTTATAAGTAATCACAACCCAAAACATGGCTTAATTTCCCCTTTTAACAAGTGAGAAAACTGAAGCTTGTCCAAGTTCAGTGACATGCCCTTCATCACCAGACTACTAAGTGACAAGGTCAGAATAAAGAGTGGGCAAAATCAGACACAGACATTTTTTTTTTTCTCACTTGACTTAAAGAGGTTATGAAATGACCCAAGGTTAAATGCAGAGAGGAAGCCAGACTCATTGGAATATATTTGTAATTAAGACTTATGGGTTCTAACTTTGGTCCTTGTGTGTAACTTTGAACATGACTTCCCTTTAGGTTCCCCATCCATAAAAAAGAATAAAACAGCAATATATCAGGCCAAACTGTTTCAAGGATTCTGTGATGATTAAGGAATAAACTGTAAGGTACTTAGTGAATACAAAGTCATGGAAGATGCTAAACAATAAAGTATTTTGGAAAGGTATGAAATTGTGTTTGTTTTTAGCAAACTTAAAACCTGTAGAACCATTCTGTATGATTCATATTTTTGTGAAAGGGACTCAACACGTGATCACACAAAGAAGCACATGGGTTTTCTGTGCATAATATCTGAAACTTGCCAAATATATATATATATTTTTTTTTTTTTTTTTTTTTTTTTTTTTTTTTTCTCACTGAGGCTATGCTTCTTTTTCAAGGAATTTTTGAGGTGGGGAAGACTTGAATAATTCTCTTGTCACTGTTGTTCACAAAGAAGAGTGTTACTTTGTGACCCAACACTCTCTGTCCCCTAAAGAGAGAATTCCTCAAGCTTTAAAATGACAGTTCCAGGAATCACATCTCAGGTCTCCGTATCCCTGCAACCTTGTGCTGTGCTCTATGAATTCAGGTGGTGGGCCCATGGTCAGAAGTGTGATGGGGATACTCACAGTCACAGAATAAGCTAGGGTCAGCGTTACTCAAAGACAGAGGCAAAAAGTCTTTAGCACTAAAAGAAGTACAGTTATATTATGGAATAGAAAACAACTGCACATAGCTAGCTAGACTTTCTATGACAGGCCACTTTGGCTTGTGCTTGTGATTACCCAGGAACTTCCACTGCAAGGAACTTCTGAGAGTAGACCCACCTGAGACCAGAGGAAAAGTTACATCCAGGACTGAAATACCCTTCTCATCTGTTAACCTCTATTTTGGAATTTGGTGCCCCTTCCTGTCTCAGTTGTCTCCTGTGGAAAATGTGGGTCATGAAAATATATTCCCCGACAAACTGACAAGGATGATTTTAAAATCAACTGAGAAAGAACACAAAAAAATGCTTTTAAAACACAAAATACATGACAAATAGAAGTTGTCTTTTTTAATTATTATAGTAGAACATAATGTCTTCATGCCTTATTTAGCACTTAAACATTTAAATTCTAATGTATCATGTTATACATATATTGGAACTTTTTAGATTGTTTAGTTGAGCATATTTAATGTTTAAAATAGACCCCAAGATCCTTGGCTCTTATTTCTTGGGTAATAAACTAAAAAATAATATTTTGTATAGTAGGCAGGGTTCTCCAGAGAAACAGAATGAGTAGAGTATACATTAATAACTAGAAAGAGGTTTAGTATGAAGGACTGGCTCAATGATTGCAGGGGCTGAGAAATCCCATGATCTGCTGTCTGTAAGCTGAAGGTCAAGGAAGGCCAGTGGTATAATTCTAATTCAAACTCAAAAGCATGAGAACCAGAAATCGATGGTGTACAAAGTCCTGGTCCATATCTGAAGACCTGAAAACAAGGAGCACTGATGTCCCAAGGCAAGAAAAGGTGTGCACCCCAACCCAAGCAGAGAACAAATTTGCCCTTCTTCTTTATTTTTGTACTATTCAGGTCCTCAACAGATTTGATGATGTTCATCCACATTAGTGAGCGTATTAATTTACAAATTAGCCTGCTGCATGGAGGGCAAGGAGATAAATAAAGAGGCAGGCCACTCCAGATTGGTAGGTAGCAGTTTTAACAAGCCAGAGAGGGAACTTACTGGAACAACTTCACGATGAGTAGATCTCTGCACCCACATGCCAGAATATTAAAAGTTAAATAGAGGGCTTAACTGGGTTTACTCACATACACTGTCCACATGGTGTCAACAACATGGTACTCACTCAAGACAGCTGTGGTGCAGTCCTTAAGGCAGTTTCTGGTGCAGGGAAGACAAGCAGAATGCACATTTCGAGAATGGGGAGGGATGAGGACCTCCAATTGCCCAGGTGCAGGTGCAGCTGTCAAGTCCTCTCAGTAACCTCCTCCAGAGGAGGACCATCTTCTTTCCTTGGTCTTCTGATTCAAATGCTAATCTCTTCCAGAAACAGTCTCACATACACACCCAAAAATAATGTTTTACCAGCTGTCTGAGCATCCTTTAGCCCAGCCAAATTGACACATAAATTTAACCACTACACACTATAAGAGGTGCTCAAAATACCTTTTAAAATTATTTTAATATAACCATATTTGAAAAGATGCTTCGTATGAGAAAGAGGAGAGAGCATGGAGAATGACTTTTTTTTTTTTTTTTTTTTTTTTTTTTTTTTTTTTTTTTTTTTTTGCCATCATAAGATTTGTGGTAGATGTCCATCATTTTTGCCTGCCTAGGACTTCATCCAAATTTTCCTTATGAAATCATCCCTTCTTTTCTCATTTCATATGATTTGATTGGAGCTTATCCTGCCCTAGTGCAAGGTGAGCCTTGGCCTGAGCCAATAAACATATGCATCCTGTTAGCTACAATGATTGATTCAGGAATGAGCAACTGAACCAATTTTGAACAACACAAATTAGGTTCAAGATTTCTGTGGAACTGCAGGGAAATAAATAAGCCTTTTTTTTTTTTATAAGGACACTAAGAAGATAAAAGCCATGAATGGAGCTACTAGCAGCCATTCTGTCAACACAAGGAGAAAGTCTGTCTGAGTTTGAAACCATTACAGAAGAATAATGGAAAGAATGAGATCAAGTCAGAATATATACTCTAAACCCCCTGCTTTTAGCCATGACCAACAGATTGGGCCATTTTGATCTGTGAACAAATCATTCTCTAATTTAGCCAAGGTTTTGGGGTTTTGTTTTGTTTGGTCTCTTATAACTAAAAGAATTTGACTAAAGCAACATTTATAATTTTTCTTTCAGATAACTCAATGGATATCTGTCTTCTCCATGAGGCTGAAGACTGAAGGAATCACATCTCTCTTTTGATTTTTAAATCCCCAGTGTCTAGCAGAGCGCTTGATATGTGGTAGAAGCTCATTATGTATTGGTTGAGTAAATGCATGAAAAAAAAATAGAATACCCATACTCAAGGATGTTTTGGCTTAGAATTGATTCACTATCTCAAACGCAGCTGGATTGTTGCCATTGATTTCTAGGGATATTTTAGCCTGATGAGTGAAAAAGCTTGAGGGGGCACTTGTTTCCAAAAAAGATCTAATTTATCCTCTTCCCTTCCATTCCTGACCAGTTTGCAACTTCTTTTTACCATATGCAATCCTTATTAAATTTAAAAAGTCTCAGAATTTCCTAGTAGCTTGATACTTTCAAATATAACTCCTATCATAGGAAATATTAGAAAAATTATAGAATGTACCCCTGCCCTCCCCCCACCACCTTCTTTTGAGACCTACTACCTTTCTTCTTTAGGTTGCAATCTGGATTTCTCAAAAGTCTGCTAAAGTTTTATTTGGCCTATAGTTTGCATGGATCCTCCCCACATGTTTTCTACCCCACCCTTAAATAAGGCCAACACAGGTTGACTTTTGCTTAAGCTAATTTTCATCTCTGTGCAACAATTAAAATTTATTCACCAGAGATTATGACCAATAAACACCACTAACTTTAAACCATATCCTTACTCCTGTCCAATACATCCCAAAGTTTGTTGAGTTGATGAGTATTAATTTATTCATTCATGTTCCCACCTGTGCATCTAAATTTAGACACATTTATTTGGTCATAGGAAAATTATAGTGAGAGAAAGGTTAGGGTGTAATGGATTAAACATGCAACATTTAGGTTTTAAGGAAATTCTTCAAATACTAACCCAACCAAGAACTCAAGCACAGGATCAGTGTCATTAGTTAGAATGAGCGAATAGACAATGAGCTGACCAATTATAAAGATTATTCTTGAATTTTATACTGAAATACTCTTTGCTTCTTGTCCATATCCTTAGTAAAATTGTACAGAGACTGCAGAGCAGGTGCTCAACAGGTATGCTCTTAAAAAGTGTTGATTGCCATATCGATCACTATAACTATTTAGGCTTAGTCCTGAAAGCTATTCATTCCTTTGTTTATTAGTTCTAATCAGCACCATTCTGAGTGCTATTATACTGCCTTGTAAACAATATTGTTTTGCAACCTTAAAGTCAGTAATTCTGTAGAAATTAAATTGGGTTTACAGTAAATCCATGATTACCATATAATCTGTGGAGTCTAAATAATGATGTACTTAGCTGTAGAATTGCATGTAAAACACAGAGCGATGATTACATGGCTATTTGAGGCCTAGGAAAGTAAGCAATGCCAAATGTTTTGATGGTTGAAGAGCTGAGAAATCTTTTTGTTTTTAATGTTTCAATTTAAATATTATCTTTAAACATCTTGAT